GGGGAGGTACCAGTCCAGCCAGGGAGGTGGATGTGTAAACAGATGGCCTCGCTGGGGTGTGAGGGAGGCTCTGGGAGAGGCTCCCAAAGTGTCGGGGGAGCAAAGGGGCCAGGGAAGGGGTTGGAGCTGGTGGGGAGGTTAGCAGGTATTTGCCACATGGAGGCATGAGGGGCATTCCTAGAGGGTGCGTGTGGCAGAGGGTGTGTGTGATGGTAGTCCAGCAGAGGCAAGCTGGGACAGGGCTTCGAAGGTGGACAGGGACCCCTCCTCACCCTTCAGGTCTTAGTGCCTCCATCCCTGCGTCTGGGCAGCCCTCCCTTATCCCCCAAATGGGCCAGAGCTCTGCCTTGCACCTCACACTGTGCCCTCAAGGCACCCTTTCCTGCAGCCACTTCCTGTCCACTGTGCAGCTCTTTGCCCCACACCATCCCAAGGCCAGGTGCACATCCATGGTGGCTCAGTCCAGTGCCCTGGTGCCTGCTGGGGCCCCAGAACTTGCTGAATGAATAAAGCTGGCCCAGCAGCCAGGGGCTGAGCTGAGGCTGGCATCCTAGGGTGGAGGGGAGGCAGGTTTGAGGGACTTTGAACTAGTCCTGGGGCAGTAGGTCATCCAGATGTGACGGCTGCGTCCCAGGTGGGAGGGGGAGGCCCACCCAGCCACATTCCGGCTTCCTGAGAGGGACCAGCAGACGAGGGGCCAGATGTCATAGAATTGGGGACACTGCTGCTCCTGCCTGTTCCAGAGGATGGTGGGAAATTGAACAGCAGCTTCTACCAGGGCAGCTCTCTTGGGCCTCAGGAATCAGGGGATGGCCCTCCCTCCCAGCTCTGTAGCCTGCAGGGGCTCCAGCCCTTGCTTTTCAGGTGTGTGATGAAGAGAAGGAGCTTGGAATCCGAGGTGGGGTACATGTGGGTTCAAATCAGCCCCTGGTTTTCTGACTGAGACTGGGTGACCTCTCTGCCTCCGTGTCCTTGCCTTTGATAGGGAGACACTACCTCCTGCCTCGTTGGGTCAGGAGATCATACATAATGAGCTCAGGAGAGCCCTGTTTAGGGCAAGCCTTGTGGGGAGACTCGCAGCAGACAGTCTCGCCACTGGCCCACTCCAGATGTCACTCACAGCGTTGGATTGAAAATGACTTTTTTGAC